AAGTGTTGTTTTAGTTGTTGTCAGTGACATCCAGTGTTGTTTTTGTCGTTGTAAGTGACATCCAGTGTTGTGTTTGTCGTTGTTAGTGACATTCAGTGTTATTTTTGTCATTGTTAGTGACATTCAGTGTTGCTTTAGTTATTGTTAGTGACATTCAGTGTTGTTTTAGTTATTGTTAGTGACATTCAGTGTTGTTTTTGTGGTTGTAAGTGACATTCAGTGTTGTTTTTGTCGTTGTAAGTAACATTCCATCTTGCCTTTCAGGAACAATCAGTGATGTGGATCTCCTTATAGAGTTTGCAAGACTTGGCTGTTACTGTGAGTTCGACCTATTTGGAATTGAAAATTCACATTACCAGTTTGCTGAAGATTTGGACATGCCCAATGATGCTGAGAGGATTAGACGAATCAAGTCTCTTGTGTATGCTGGGTTTGAGGACCGGGTTACCATTGCCCATGACATACACACCAAGATCCGGCTGGTAAGCATCACCAAATATAGACATACAATAATTTAATAAATGGTTTGGAAATGCTTATAAGAAGGTATTTTAAAAAATATCATAGGTTCCCTTTTACTTTTCGTGAAAAGGGGTTGTATAGATACTAGACAATACAGCACAAATGTTTTTAATAGAAGTCCTTGTGTTGCAGATGAAGTATGGAGGCCACGGATTCTCCCATATCCTGTTGAATATCCTTCCAAAGATGCAGCAAAGAGGAATATCCAAAGCAATTGCATACAAAATGGTAGCCGATAACCCACAAAGATGGCTGGCCTTTAATCCACCAAACTGACAGTTTATAAAGGTGGCTGTTTTATCATCCATCAAACCAATTATCAACAAAGATGGCTGGTATATATTCCTTTAACTGAAGCTTTGGTTGAATAATGCAGGCCTTTCTATGGATAATAAATTTGAATATATGAAAAAAATTAACACTAACCCTAATTTTACATGACCATATGACTATCTGATTGATTCTGTAAATTGATTATCCGTTTGACAGCTTTTACCTAATAATTTTATTGAATTATACCCAAGATGGCCAAGAATGATCACCAGCCAAAGTAGCTTACACTACCTATAACACCGATGTGAAGTCCCTTATGTATAGTTCCACATATATAGACTGTATCATTCTATACAAGTTACTAATAAGCAATGTACACAGCTTTGTTAAGCTGGTATTATACAAACACCAAGGCATACACATCAGGGGGTTCTGATTAAGGGCTCAGGATTGATACAAAGTTTTATTATAGCCATGCAATGTTGGTGCCCAGGATTGAACTTTACAATAAATCAACATCAGGATTCAGCATGAGCAGCAAACTCTTTTTTAGTTAAGTGTTATTAATATCTCTTTCAAGGCAGTACAAGACTATATCAATACTACGCTCACTGGTATTAACATGTGCAGTTCAGGTTTTCGGTACACTAATCTTTATTAGCGAAATGTCTATCTTCCATATGGTCTTCATTTCATAATAAAAATAATATACAACATTTTCATAGCGCCCTATATAATTTGTAAAATTACTCTAAAGCGCTTTACAACATATGGATACTAGTATTAGTTATAATTGTGAAACAAAAATGGCTTACAATCACCATTATATATTAAGCAAGAAGATAATCATCACAATGTGCACATAAATGAATAAATAAAGGGTGGTATGTACATGACGTCTGCAAAGAGTCTAAAATGAAGACGTGAAGACAAACGACATCATTGTCACTGTTAAACCATTCTTGTAGTAGTTTCTCTCTATTGGGGATAATAATGCGTTTTACTGTCAGTTTCCATTGTATTTATTAAAACAATATATCAGCTATATAATACTGGATATTCAAACTCCATCCGTATTTTCAAGTCTATTTAGAAAGCCTGAAATCCAACTTGTTTGTGGCCGTAGAAATATTTCTTTCGCTATTGTTTCGGGGTCAAATCTAGAGCTTATGTGTGCAATATGAAAAAACAGAGCATTTTTTTTTTTGCCAAAACATGAAAGGCAGTAGATACAGCATTCTTTGTACGATTGTGCAATATAATGAAAACGACCATTCAAACAGCTTAAATAAGTGCCGAGTAAAGGCATTGAGTCATAAATTTAGAAACTGACACTAGAAAAAACATGGTCAGTTAAATTTGTACTCCATAGTGCAGATGCCATATTCGGTCCTTGGTAAGATCTCAAATGAAAATCAGGTTTTTTAGCTCACCTGGTCCAAAGGACCAAGGTGAGCTTATGCCATACCCCAGCGTCCGGCGTCCGTCAACTTTACACTACTAGTCATGAACCACTGAGCGGATTTTAACAAAAAAAATTGCGGAGCATCCTTGGTTAAAGAAGAACCAATTTTGTATAAATGGTGGGTCTGGCCCCCCCAGGGGCCTGAGGGGCGGGGCCAAATAGGGGAAATATAGCAAATTCTTTAAAATCCTTCTTCTTCTGTAGGAATGAAAGGATTTGGTCCATAATTGGTGTGGAGCATCCTTGGGTAGTTGGGAACCAATTTGTATAAACTATGGGTCTGGCTCACCCGGGGCCTGAGGGGCGGGACCAAATAGGGGAAATATAGCAAGTTATTCTTTAAAATCCTTCTTCTGTTGGAATGAAAGGATTTGGTCCATATTTGGTCAGAAGCATCCTTGGGCAAAGGGGAACAAAGTTTGTATAAATGGTGGGTCTGGCCCCCCTGGGGGCTTAGGGGCGGGGCCCAATACGGGAAATATAGCAAATTCTTTAAAATCCTTCTTCTTCTGTAGGAATGAAAGGATTTGTTCCATATTTGGTCTGAAGCATTTTTGGGTGAAGGGAAACCAATTTTGTATACACCATGGATCCGGCCCCCCAGGTGCCTGAGCCGTGGGGCCCAATAGGGGAAACATAGCAAATTATTCTTTAAAATCCTTCTTCTTCTGTAGGAATGAAAGGATTTGGTCCATATTTGGTGTGGAGCATCATTGGGTAGTGGGGAACCAATTTTGCATAAACGGTGGCTGGGTCCCCCTCGGACCTGAGGGGTGGGGCACAAAAGGGGAAATAGACGTAAATCTTCAAGATCCTTCTTCTTCGGTAGGAATGGCAGGATTTTGTCCATATTTGGTCTGAAGCATTCTTGGGTGAAGGGGAACCAATTTTGTATAAACGGTGTGTCTGACCTCGCTGTAGGCAGAGAGGTGGGGCCCAATAGGGAAAATAGAGGTAAAACCTTTAAAATTCCTTCTGCTACCATAGGGATTAAGAGATTTTATCCTAATTTAGTCTGGAGCATCCTTGGGCCAAGGCAGAGTTGAGTCGGTCTCTGTAACTTGCAAGTGGTTTTTGTAACATACAGCAATACATTATCAAATTTGAATATAAGCAGTATAGTAAATTTCATTTGTGTCCCATTGAATTACCCACATGAGAGGAGTTATGTGTATCACCAGGCTGAGATAAGTTTTTAGAGGTTTTAATAGTCTACTAAACTATGAACTTTTCTGTGTATACCTGTAGACACATCACAGCAGATGCTATAATAATAATACACAACATTTATATAGCGCCCTATTCAATTTGTAAAATTACTCTAAAGCGCTTTACAACATATGGATAATAGTTATAGTTATAATTCTGAAACAAAAACAAAGGCTTACAATCACTTTTATATATTTAAGCAAGCAATGTGCACATAATTGAACAAATAAAGGGTGGTATGTACATGACGTCTTTGCAGAGACTCACTACATTCAGATACATTTATTACAATATTAACATAAATTACGTGTTATTTATGCCAACCGTGCAAGTAGGGAGACCATTTTATGGGAATATCGTCAGAATAACTTGTACACGGTATATTTGTGTCACGTGCTCCATGTGTGGTGTTTCGTTAAAACATTGGAACTATTTCGATGATATCAAAGTGGAGCATGTGAGGTGGTCAAAAGATTGTGTTTTTCAACATATGATGCTTGTTATGTGAACATGGTGATATATATTGTAGTTGTAGTGTGTGAACGATACAAAGTGCATTTGTGTGACATCAAGACACTCATAGAGAGAGGCTGGTCATAGGATCGGGGAGAGATTTGTGTGACATCAAGACACTCATAGAGAGAGGCTGGTCATAGGATCGTGGATAGACCAAACTTGAACATATTGGATAACTATTGAAGATATTAGCAGAATTCTGGGAAGAAAACGACTTTTATGTTGACTTCTTTACTTTGTTATTCATATCTAATGAGCATATAGCCGCCACAGTATATTCATAATGGTATTAAACATAGACTTAATTGATAAAAGACTGCAAAACTATTTGATTGAAAAAAACGAAGAAAAGGCCTATCGGAGAATTATAAAAAAAAATGCTGCTGTGTCTCTCTTATGAACACGTTGTAAAATAAAAAAATAACAGAACTATTCGTATGTTTAGGCTGTGAGAATCGTCGAGCTAGTCAACATGAACATGAATGTCTGATGTATTCCAGTGCTGTTGTTATAGACTTACATTTTGACGAAGCATTGACTTTTACAAATCATTTGGAATTGGAAAAGACTTGGCGCGGGTTTGCCATTCAGGACACACACAACTAAATCAGCCAATCAGCAAGTGTTTCATACGTTTATAGTTCCTATCTAAACTAAGTTCCGGCTAATTACTGGGTCACTGAAGGAGTTTAATAAGGAACTGATGACAGATTGTTAGATAAATAAAATGTTCAGGTATTTAACTTTTGAAAAATATATACTTTTGATATATTTCCATGTCTCCGTGCGGATTTGCACAGGGGCAAAATGTCTGGGGGCGTTTCTGTTTTGGGTCACCGGTTTTGCTTGTAAACTTCCGGTTGTCAACTTCTTGGCGCTGTGACACTCCAATATGCCACTAAACCTACCAAAAAAGTCATTTGTAGCCTTCTCAAGGTATGTATTTATGAATCTAGACAGTTGTCACTAGTCTTGAAGTTCAAATATTAAAGTTATTAGCTAAAATGTTTGGTAATAACATATAGTAAATTATTTAGTTGTGTGAGTCCTTTCAATCTTGTATATCTTCGGACACATTACAATATATCATGCAAGACGAACGTTTGAGGGACGAGAACTACGTGAAACAAAGTTATAGCGAAAAAATAAAGAAACAGGTGAAGAAAATCGGTGAAGTTCAGACATGCTTATTCATTTGATTTCCAGATAGTAGACGTATAATACATTATGAGTGGTGATCAGTATGTGGAAATTGACGTTGATGGTGATCAGCTTCCCGTAATCGTTGAAGAATACGAGAGACGTCGTAGGTACATTTGCTCCATCTGTGCGTGTTAATTGTGAAAACTACTCTGACAGAGGTAAGAAACGACTAGTGAAACACATATTGAAAGAACACCTGAAAGATACTTGGGATGCAATGGTGAACTTACTGTAGACAAACAATGAAGTAACAGTTGATGATTGCGTTTCGTTAGTTTATATCATTCCTAACATTACATAACCGACTGTGAAACTTCGTTATGAGATATATACAGCTAAGATGTACCGGTCTATGTATAAGGGACTCGATCTCGGTCAAGTCACGTAACACGAGACGACAACTATACAGGATAAATCTTTTCCACACCACTTGTAGAGCAGAAATCAACGGAGCCAAGGCCAAACAATTTGGAAAAGACCTTCACACCATGCTACAAAATGTAGGAAACTCAGGAAACTTTCGTCATCTGAATGACTACCTACAGGAGCAGCTGTTGACGCATGCCAAGGGACTGGAGAAGGGAGATAACCCCCCAAAGCCCTGCAAAGGAACACAGAAACTGATTCTTCCTCAAAAAGGCCGTGGGATACAGAATATGGATCTCGAGCAAGAAGAACCCTCACCATCAGGCAGGACAATCTCGCTCTCTGCAACCAAACCAACCCCGCATACTTACCGACAACAATAGAAGAAGATGAACCTCAGCATATCTGCCCACACTGTAACCAGCCAACAAACCTGGATGACTCGACGGACTGCATCAACTGCACCCAATGGTACCACCTTCACTGTGAAAGGCTAAACAATGAGGAAATCAAAAACATCGAGGAAAAGCCAAACCACGAATTCACCTGTAGCCCATGCAGAGTCGTTGAGGACGAAATGATACAGGGAATCAATCCAACAGTCAAATCTCCCAGACCAACTTTAGACTATCCACCAACTGACTCAGAAATAATAGATGCTGATGTACATCACTCCTATATAGAATGTGCACAAAAACAACATGAGGAGGAAACCAAATTACCACTACCACAGCCTACAGACCATCTAAAGGACACTGAGAAACAACCAAAATCCAAGCAAAGGAA